TGATACTATATCATGGTTATCCCCTACTATGTAATGTAAGTCATTAATATATACAAGAAACAGAAAGGGGCCGAGAATTGAGCCCTGAGGCACGCCCGTTTGTGCAGTCAACCCGGAAGAACTCATACTATTAATGACAACTTTTTGCGTTCTGTCACTTAAATATGAAATAATTAATTTAAGAGCATCACTTCTTACACCGTAGTGTTGAAGTTTCCTGATTAATGTTTCATGGTGAACACAATCGAAGGCCTTGGATAGGTCACAGAATATGCCCAAAGCATCCTGTGAATTCTCTCATGCATTAAAGATATATTTAATAAGTTCAACACCAGCATGAGTTGTCGAGCGACCCCTTGTGAAACCGAATTGATTTTTATGAAGTAAATTATTTACATTAAAAAATTTACATTTGATCCAGAATAATTTTTTCAAAAATTTTACTAAGTGTTGGCAGTACAGAAATAGTTCTAAAATTAGCGGGGTCCAATGTTCTTCCAGATTTAAATAAAGATATTACTTTACTATGCTTCATTAAATCAAGAAACACACCAGATTTGATACTAGTATTAAAAATAATAGATAGTTGAGGTGCGATTGCATCTACTATAGACGCAATAACCTTAACGGAAATCCGCCACAGATCGGCGGTTTTCTTAATATCAATAGTCTTAAAATATTTTAGAATATCTTTTGATGACACTTTATGAAATGTAAAATTCTTTGTACACGCATTTACCTTTTGTATAAGTAATGATTCGGCGATGTGAGGAGAAGAATTCAGTGACTTAGTGATTAATTGATTAATCATTAAGAAGACTGATTTATTCAATTTTATTGTTATTTCATTAGAATTTGAGAATATTTTATGGTAAATAATAAAAAGCATTGTTTTACTTTAAAAAAATTGTCATGATATACTAAGACTAAAAAATTAAGAGTGTCCGGCCTTTTTAACAAAATGTCCGGCTAAACTCGTTGGTCTGTCCGGCTTTTTGTTCTTAAGACCTGGCAACTCTAGCTATTAATGCTATTTTGTGCCAGAGCATCTTCAACTACGCCCGCAAATTTTAATCGTCGGAAATATTTACTTTAGTATAGTATATTTCAATTAGTATAAAGTTCGCACATTATTATTATACCAGATAGTTAACTCATTATAGTTATTTTGATTGTAGCTGAGCTTTCTTATCAATCCGAATAGGGAAAAATAAATACATGTATCCATGTGTCACTTAACTAATATAATAATCCTTTCCTTAGAAATATCCTTTCCCTGGAGAAAAAATTATGGAGAATAAAAATGTATGCATGCTTGCTATATGGACTGGCTCAGATTATGCAGTAAAAGTACTAAAAATCGACAAAGATGACAAATTTTGGATTTTGAATATGTTAGCCAAGTTACAAGCGTTTTATAAAAGTGTGTACTGCTTGAAATTATTGACTCGAGATAAGCTCGGTCAATACCGTTGCGGCAAATATTTTAATATATATAATTTGCGATTAAAAATATTTTAATATATATAATTTAAAACTAATAGAGTGTGACATAGCAAAAAAACCCAAAACTGTTTTGGTCCTTTGTCAAGGCGAAACGTGGTGGTTCAGGCGCCTATCCCCTATCAATGACTGACGGTACGACGGTAACTTCTGATGGAGTGGAAACTTGCGAACTTTTTTCTTCACACTATTCATCCGTGTACTCTGAAAACACTAAATGTACAGAGCAGGATTATGTTTATGACCATTCAGAGTCCTTGAAATTAATTGAAATTAATAGCCTTCACCTAGCACAGCTGAAAATTGATCATAATACTCTATTAAATAAATTAAAAAGCATTAAATGTAATAAAGGAGCAGGTCCTGATGGAATCCCTCCAGTGTTTGTAGTCAGATGTGCTGATCACCTTGTTAATCCACTATTAATTATATTCAATTTTTCTCTTTGTACTGGGCAGTTTCCTACACTATGGAAAATAGCTAAAATCGTTCCGGTTCATAAAACGGGCAGTGTGGATTATGTAAGAAATTACAGGCCGATCTCTATATTATCAGTCTTTGCTAAATTATTAGAGTCAATTATTTGTCCTTATATTCAGAGACATATCAATCTTTACTTAACCACTAGCCAACATGGGTTCGTTAAATCTAGGTCTACGAGCACTAATTTGGTACATATTACGGAAATACTAATTGAAGCACTTGATGCGGGGAAACAAGTCGACGTAATATATACTGATCTTAGCAAAGCATTTGATCGGGTCCCACATGATATATTGGTTCATAAGTTAGCTGCCTACGGCATTACTGGTAGTATGTAAAATGGCTAAAATCGTATTTAAAGGACCGAGCGTTTTTTGTGGTGGTGAATGGATATCAGTCAGGCTTAAAAAATATTAATTCTGGTGTGCCCCAAGGGTCTCACCTTGGACCGATTCTGTTTGGGGTGTTCGTAAACGAAATTCCAGAATTGATGAAATGGTCTCGTGTGTACTTGTATGCGGATGACTTAAAAATTTGCAAGACGATTGTGGAAGAGAACGATTCAATAAACCTACAGAACGATTTTGATCAACTGATTAAATGGTGCAAAGTAAATCGTATGGACTTAAACATTAGTAAATGTTTCTATGTGCAATATGCGAGAAAAAGTAACACTATCGACTATAGCTATCACATTGGATGTAATAAAATACAGCAGTTAGACGAAATTAGAGACCTCGGGGTCATATTTGATAAAAAATTAACTTTCGTACCGCACATTGAAAACATTACTAAACGTGCATCTAGAATGTTGGGTTTTGTCATAAGATATATCAAAGTCTTTCGAAATGCTAAAATTAAAATTCTTTTATTTAACAGTTTGGTAAGAAGTATATTAGAGTACTGTGCTGTAGTCTGGAGACCTCATTGCGCTACACATTCACTGAGAATCGAGCGGATCCAAAAAAGATTTATAAGACATTTGTCATACGCAAGCGGATTTAGGAGTAATAAGAAGCGTGTATCATATGAAAATAATTTGATCAATTTCAAAATGATTTCTCTTGAAAACCGCAGGGATATTATTGATTTGATTTTTGCTTCTAAAATTATTAGTGGTGTTATTGACTGTCCTGAAATTTTAAGTAAATTTAATATATGCGTTCCCTTTCGTTACCCGCGTTACGCTCGTAAGACATGACTTTGACTAGACCATATAGAAGAACAGTGTTTGGCTCCAATTCCCCAATTGCTAGATTGAGTAAACTTGTTAACACATTTAGAGATAAAATTGATATATTTTTCGACCCACCTAACAAGCTCCGTCGCACCTTAAGAGACCATCTTTTGTAACATATTATAAAATATGTTCTTTCCTTTTCGCTTCTATATATTTTTATTTGTATTTAGTTATAATTTCTTTTAATTTTTAATTATTTCTTTATCCTAGTAATATAGGTACACAGTTCTGAGAAAGTTATTTGCATGTTGTATCCGCCTGTAATTATTTGTACATTTTAGTTCTTATTGCTTCATTGTATTTATATAGCATGTAAGGAATGATACAAATGTTGGTGGATCAATAAAAAAAAAATTTGCGTAACGCCTAAATGTAAGAAGGTTCTTAACGAGTAACAGTCGACCAACTTATAAAATGCACTTCGATTAGTGAAAATATTACAATTCCATATAAAATGACCTAAAACTAGCTGCTTTATAACTTTGTAATGTTATGGTAAAATCTAGGAAGTAAACATAGTTTTGGAAAAAAGTTTACATAATTACTAATACTAGTACTACTACTACTACTACTAAATAGCTTTACTTTTTTTATGGATTAGGCAGAGATGATCGATCCTCAAGACACCGATTCAGATATGCCACTTTCGGTTTTTTAGTTGGTAGTTATTGTAGGCTTCATTCACAGTATTCATACAATCATACAGCCTCATACAATTTCATTCATGGTATTCTTGGTTTACGCGAGATAGTTTAGGGCAGTGATGGTTTACGGGAAGGTTCGCAATGGTCATGTATATCTTAGGGTTCCACTGCGGGGAACTAATAGATGGATATTGAACTATGACTATTTTTGCACGGACTTGCCATGTGAACAATTTAATGTAGATTGTATTATATTGTTCACATATATTTTCAAAATCGAAAAGTTTAATATTTTTGAATATCACTCACTATAACCCTGCTTGGAAAATAAGTCCTTCAGTTACCATCGTCCTATTTTAGTCGTTATAGCAGTCAAACCGCGAACTAACTTCATCATCATCATTCATTTCACATTCACTGCCCTTCACAAGTGTACTGCCGAACATAGGCCCTCCCCAAAAATTCTACAAAGCACGGTCATGAGCAACATGCATCCATCGACTTTCTGCATTTTTTACCAGGTTGTCACTCTATCTAGTGAGGGGACATTCCTACACTTCGTCCACCGGTACGAGGCTGTCACTCGAGGACCTTTCTTCCCCCATCGGCTGTCGGTTCTTTGACCTATATGACCGGCCCATTACCACTACAGCTTACTAATCCATTGCGCTATGTCGGTTGCTCTAGTTCTACTGCTTCTATCTTCATTTTAAGTTTATCACGCATAGAAACCCGTCTCCATATCTCACTGAGTAACCTTGAGGTTCCACATACGGCCAATAGTGAAGTACCACGTCTCAGACCCATTAATCATCACTGGTAACACGCACTGGTAGTACAATATTGTTTTGAGGTATGCCTGATGAAAATATGTGTCGTAATCTACCATGAACTCAATATGCTCATGGTATCAAGAAGCCTCCATCTAAATTCATGTATTATGACGGGCAACTATAGAACCTTATCTCTACAGGTACGTGGCGCGGCACGCACTTGGCTAGTTTTTATTACTATAAATACACAAATGTTCATGATTAGCTCTTAGTTCTAGTGTACAATTATTAGAATACAATTTCTATTAATATATTTAATTGTATTCTAATACAATTTTAATGGCATGTGCTGAGCAGCTGTCGCAGCCGGCGATCGGTGACCACGAGCGGCACATGCAGTTCGTGGTGCGCGAGCGCGCGCGCGGGCTAAAGCTGCCGGCCGGGCGCGCGCGCGGCGCACTGCTGGCTGAGCTGGCGCGTGACCTGCGTGCGCTGCGCGACACTCACGACCACTACAAGTTCGGTACGTGCGCACACACGCACACACACGCACACCACACACGTACAGCTCAAGCTGCAGACCGGGCTCTCGCGCTGTGCGCTGCTGACTGACTGGCACGCGAGCGCGGCGCGACTCGCACGACCACTACAAGTTCGGTACGTGCGCACACACGCACACACACGCACACAACACACATACAGCTCAAGCTGCAGACCGGGCTCGCGCGCTGTGCGCTGCTGACTGAGCTGGCACGCGATCTGCGCGCTGTGCGCGACTCGCACGACCATTACAAGTTCGGTACGTGCGCACACACGTACACACACGCACACGTGCTAAATCAGATGTTTCTTTTCAACCACCGCCGAAGCGTCGTATGCCTTATACCTATCCATAACTGCATGAGTATTTGTATATTTTGTATTTGCGTTTTGTATTGTCTTTTTTTTTTCGAAACTACCCACTATGCCTACAGAGTGTGGCAATTGTAATAAATCTATTACTACCCCCGGATTGGTGCAACAAATTTAACCGCTCAGTACATCTCAACACAAAATACAATGGATTTACCAACAACTAGCTCATCGCTCTTGATTCAAGAATCTCCTGGATTGGAATTTTGGATTGGAAAAATTGGAACATGCCTGAATTGTGTGAAGGAGTCGTCGAGGCGTAACTTTTCAATTCTTGTACCAGAAGACGATGATGAAGAAGATCCTGAGAATTAAAATTAATTATCAAGGGAAGTAGAGAAAACCATTAGAAATTAAATTAGGAAGTTAAACGACTCTGCAGTTTAACAGTGCCAAACTTGCCAAACTTGAAGAGTTTAATTTAGTATATGATTTACATTATCCAAAATACTGAAGGAGTGATGAAGAAAGTATAACATCAAATAATTGTGCTCTCTCTAGCAAAAAAGTCTTAAAGATTATAAATGATTTTTAGTTTTTTCGATCGATGAATGTTTATCTTACTAACAACAACAAAAGTACCATTATATTAAAACAGGTAAGCGCAGCTTATGTATCTCAGAACCCTGGCATGCGATATTACAAAATGGTTTGTCACCGAACTTTATTTACTTAATAAATATATTCTATGCGATAGTTTTAATATAACATGGTTGATTGACATTGGAGGTTAAAAGTGAAACACAAAACAGTAATAACAAGCTAATAAAGTCATTAAGCGAAATCGAATTCGAATAGCAAAAAACGAATACCATGACTTTCCAGTACAAATTTATAATTATATGAATAAAAACTTTAAACAGTGTTATAAAAACAGCCAATATAAAAAAAATAAACCAAGGGCCAGGCGAATAAATAATGAATGATTGAATAAATGTTTAAAAGCATGTGAATACATGGACAAACTTTTCAATAATTAGACTAACTACTGATTTCAAAAAAAACCTACAACAGAAGAAAAAACTATGCAAATTCATTAATTTCAAAAAGCAACAATAAATGGCTAAAATCATAAATATAATTTAAAAAATAATCCGATCTTTTCGGCAAATATTGAATAGGTTAACCGGCAGAATAAAACAGTCGATTGAAACGTATTACTAAAAGCTTTCAGCAACGGCAGGAATACATCTTAAAATATTGACTTTTTATAAAATTTTGCAACAAGTTGTACGAAAATGTATAACTAGTACCTGCGATATACGCCTTCACTCTACTGCAGTAGAAATCATAAGATCTTGGTATTAATGGGATACATGTCATAGATATTAAAAATATGCTCAGGTGGTTAAAGTAGCTATTACAAATCTTATCAATGTATGTATTAAGAACGGTAAGTATAATCATATACTAAAAACTAGAATTGTTAGACCACTACACAGAAAGGGCAGCAAGTCTGACTACGATAAATATAGGCGGATTACTGTTTTATTACTTACCATTAATAAAATAGTTGAGAAGTATGTTTGTAGGTAAATTTATAATTTCTAAGATAAAATCAGAGACGTGGTCCTTCACTGCTGGCCGTATGAGGACGCTCAAGGTCGCTCAGCGAGCTATGGAGAGGGCTATGCTCGGAGTTTCTCTGCGTGATAGACTCAGAAATGAGGATATCCGTAGTAAAACCAGAGTGACCGACATAGCCCAACGGATTAGTAAACTGAAGTGGCAATGGGCCGGCCATATAGCTCGAAGAACCGATAACCGAGGGGGAAGAAAGGTTCTCTAGTGGCAGCCTCGTACCGGTAGGTGTAGTGTAGGGCGACCCCCCAATAGATGGAATGACGACCTGGTAAGACATGCAGGAAGTCGATGGATGCAGGTGGCTCAGGACCGTGCTTTGTGGCATTACTTGGGGGAGGCCTATGTTCAGCAGTGGACTTGTGAAGAGCTGTAATGATGATAATGATGAAGATAAAATTACCAAGTTAGCTCTAGTCATAATAGGAGTAAGGTATACCTAGGCTCATAGCGCATGACCAATAATGCCTTCACAGAGGACCAGGTCCAAATGACGTGTTACTGGAAAACCACAGACCTTGTAAAATCACAAGCCTACTTAGTAAATAGTCGCCTAGATTGGAAAGAACATATTGAGTATGTGTGTGATAAACTTTGTGCGGTTCAAATCGTAGACTGCCGAGCTCTTTCTGGTCGGCTGGATTCACCGGCACTGCGAAGAGATGTTGCATCTCTTCGTAGTGCCTTTTCTATTGCATTTACCACGGGAAGTGCTCAGAAGAATTGTTAGGATTAATTGCAGCCGCTAAATTCCACAAACGCACAGTGCGACCAAACTCAGGTTAATGATGGTATCATGTGAGTGTTGAGATGTGCGTGCATGCGCAGAGCAAATGGCGGAGAGCGTGTGCGCGGGCGCAGCGAGCGGCGGCAAACGGCTGTCGGAGGCCCTGGCGCGCGACAAGCATCAGCAGCACCGGCCCTCGCTCATCTCCATGCTGGTGGGGCGCGCCGGCATACCGCGCACGCCCGACCACCCCACCGCGCCGCTTGCCGCGCAGCGAGGTATGTATCACGGGCCACGCACCGCCATCATTCATCCATTCTTTCGTTCATTCATTCATTTGTTTGTTCGTTCGTCCATTTCATGAAGGTTAGAGAACAGGAGAACGATCACTACATACTAAAGCATAGCCCACCTGTCCTTGAAAATTGTAGAATACATAGCGACGCTGACATCGGTGAGTAGTGACTGCGAAGTTAGCTGTTTATGAGTACAAGTAGGTGAAGTAATAAAAGAATATTGTACAAATTTTCATTTCATTTTTTATAGAAAATTTTCATGCTCCGTAATTTTGTAATTTTTGACAAAAAGAAACATTAAACAATGGAGAAATATTTTATTGTGCGTGAATGTGCAAGTGCTTGAGCATCTGATCGGAAAAATAGACTGAAAATGACTTTTATAGACTGCACTTAGTGATCGCAACGCCTCACTGATGGTGTGCATATTTCTGGGACACTATTTTCTACGGCGATCGTTCTCCTGTTCTATAACCTTCATGGTCCATTTATTCATTTTTGGAGTATACCCATTAAGGCCAGATTGGACAAAAAAAATCGTATTGTAGACACGATTTTGACGCCCATGAATTGATAATTCTTTAGATAGTATGTACATACGTGAAATACTCAAGTGTTAGTCGAATAGACTTTTTAAATACTTTATATTAATCGAAATAAAAAATCAATAACTTTGACGTTCGAGTTCTCTTTTTATACTACATTACGATAACCATATAATATTTTTCAATAACATGAAAGACATATTATTGAATGAGATTCTTGATCTAAACATTACATCTGGTTGCGCGGAAAACCATTCGTATTTTTATTTTATTCGAGGGTATGCTTGTCAAGCGTTGTCCTTCCTTCGACCTATCCCTTCCGTACACACCGGGGTGGTGGGGTGAGAGGGGAAAGAAGAGATTCTAGAATGTTGCGTGATTCTCGCAACCAATGAGAAGAGCGCCCGACTTCGGTGGGAAAGAAGCCGATATAAGCTCGCGCGCTGGGCTCAAGCGCTCTCTTGCCTTTGCGCCGCGAGTTGGAATCATACCGCCTGGGACAGTCGCGTCCTAGAGGGCTCTTGCCTTTGCGCCGCTAGTAGCAACCACACCGCCTGGGACAGTCGCGTCCTAGAGGGCTCTTGCCCACGCGCACCGCTAGTTTCAAACCGCACCAACCTGGAGCAGTCGAGCTCCAGGAGTAACCGCCTCACCTAGTGTGAGATATCGTCGCGCACCGCTCTCTTCCATCGCACCACCGACCAGGACCGCATCCCTGGGGCCCCAGGAGATCCGCCAGAAGTAGCACCGCAACGTCCAAGCAGCAACGAAGTCACACCCCGGTAAGTGTGCTTCTTTCCTATGACGCCTGCTTGAATATTTGTGTTTTATTAGTTAATCCGCCCCAATTTCATTTCTCCTAATGTACTCAAGCAGGATTCCTTCATAAACCTTGGCAAGCAATAGGTTTTTTTTTTTGGAAGAGCGAGTGCATTTTCAAGGAACCGCATGCTACAGCCGCCATTTTGTTGAAGCAGAAGAAACCATCCGCGTATACAGTCCATCTAATATAACATCTCGCGTAGTAGGGTCAAGGCTCGACCGGGGAATTGTGACTCGGCAACCTTAAGGCCCGCCGCTCAACCATTTCTGATCCTTCGACCGGATTTGGAGTGGTGTTTATAGCCTCACCAACCATTCAATCATCGAATTGCTAGATTAATTCCTTAGACAATGCACTCTGATTTAAAATTGAATAGATTTAAATAGTGTTCGTTTAGTTTAAATTTAAAATTTGGTTACTTTTATTCGCAAATTTATTAAATTTATAAATTATTCATTTAAATAGTGTTTGTTTGGTTTGAGTTTGGAATTTATTAGTTGCTGGCATAAGTAAATCGACTTATTTATTTATAGTTTAGTGCCGCACGGCTTATTCGGCCTACCCAACATTTGTAAAAAAATAATAGTGTGCGTTTAGCTTCTTATCTATCGACGCGCGTCGCCTCGTTTCGTTGCAAAGGTGTTCAATTTAACGACGTAATACGGCACGATAAGACAATTGTGTTGTGAGATATAGTTGTATTACACTGTGTCCATCCTCCAGCGTTGTGCGATTAATTGTGATTAATCGAATATTAATTATAGTGATTTAAAATGGCAGTTAGTGGAAATGAAATTAAACTTAAAACTCTTTACGCCAAGAGGGACGTACTCTTTTCACGTATACAATATATAAGTGATCACATAAAGAATATTAACGTAGAAGCAGTGCGGGAGACGTTTTTATGTGAAATCGAAACGGTGGACTCTCTGCGGACGGATTACGAAAAGATATTAGACCAAATTAATAATTTAGAATTACAAATCGACCCTAAGTATACAGTAAACTATCAGCCGCTTCTATCATTTGAAGATATGTTGTGTCGCGTAAAGAGAACGGCAAAGCTCTTACAGTCTCCAGCCCAAAGCGAAGCAAAACCAGAGACCCAGGTACGCCCACGTGAATCACTTAGATTGCCCCCTATAGATATTCCGGTATTCAAGGTGTTTTGCCAAGGCTGTATAAGGGAACTTCCGTCAGCCATCTGTTCCATCTCTGCAAAGGGAGAACTACTTACTGGCCCATGTCGTAAAAGAAAAAATCAAGCTTTTAGGTTCACTTTTTGAGTCAAACTCGACTTTCTACGACGGGGAGTACACACCGCCAACCATCCCGCGGTGTGATTGTTCCATGCTGGATGTGCAGTTTACACAGCACTCAGTAAGCGAAGCACTCCACTTCCTGGACTTTAACAAGTCGAATAGGCCTGATGGAGTCCCTCCTATTGTGCTGAAGGCGGGTGTTCCGGAGTAAGCATTGTTTCTAAAGCGTTTTTGTACTCCTACTTCTACTTCGTTATCGTTATCCTGAACTTATGGAAGGCAGCTTTAGTGCACTCGATCCCTAAAAAGGCGACTGCTCAGACCCGTCCAACTACACACACCATCGCCTGCTTGTTCTCCAAAAAATTAAATCAATTATAAACTGCCAACTCATAAGGTACCTCGAGGACCATCTGCTGATTGGTGACCGCCAATGCGGACACTAATGATGATTTACCAGGCCCGGAATGATATTTTACTGGGTTAGATCTTTATTGCCATTTTAATTGAATTTCATTCAAGCCTGTTGTGGAAACTCTGGAAAGGAATCTAATATAAAAAAATATTATATTATTAATAGAAAAAATCTTTGATGGGTTAATATTGTTTGGGCTTTAAAATGCACGTCTTGAATAAAGTGACAGTTCTTCATTGACTAACGACAGTGTGGCCTAGTGGTCAAAATGACAAGCTATTACGCCGCAGGCCATAGCGTGTAAAATCGTAAATTGTTGGCTTTTGGTCATGATTAACCCCATGTGTTTGGTTCTGCGTATAGCCCACCTCCGATAGAAACACCGAAGCATGAGGTTGAACACAGTGGCATTAGAAAGAATTTCGGCAATTAAAGAGTACGGCAAAACCCTCGCGAGGCAGGTAAACGTACGCATTTAACTCTTAAAAAATCAAGAATGAGTGCTACACTATATCTCGTGTGCATTTGATCGGCTTCGATTATTCAGAAGTTGTGGGGCGCGAAAACGTACAGAGGGCATGATCCATATTGTATGATCGAAACGTGCAATTACTTTCCGAATGTACTCTTTGATATTTATGAACGTTTTACACACAGAATCGGTTTCGAGCAGCTCCACTACGAGCCAGCAGATACCGGCCTATGACTTGCCGACCAACAACAGTGGCCGTCAGAGCGACACCAGCCACAATAACGCCAGTAGCGTTAACTCACAAATAGGTAATTTGGAACTATACATATTAACATAACAAGACTGTTTTCTATAAGCCGAGATTAAAAGTTTCCTCTTTATATAATCTATAATCTCTTCTTTCGCTATTTGTTTTTGTTTAACCTCGTTTAAAAAAGATTGATTCTGGTGTGGTGTTCACTTAGACCTTAGATCGATCCCTTCCTAAAATTACTAACCACAGTCAGAAAGATGTTATTACATTAATATCGAACTAATAGCTCTGTTTATGAGCTTCAGTAATAACTATAACCAAGAATTTATGTAGGTACATCAACATAAAATTTCATTTAATCTATAGGCGTATCGAATAACTACGGCAATGAACAGAAGCAGTCGGCTAGCACACCGTCATACGCAAACACACAGACTAAACTACGCTTCGGGTCATCTGTCGAGTTTAAACTTACTTCAGGTAAGTACATATTCTTACGAGCTTAGGGTTCGTGACAATAAAAACTGCCGATTGAATTACCAAAATTTACACTTTTATTACCGAACACCAATCACAACTATCACACTAATAATTATCACACTGATTCACTTTATTTCGCTCCGAAGCTTCGCCTGTCTTGCCAAATTCAATACTGCCCCGATAGCGGGTTGCAGCGGCTTTAAATACACCTTTTACACCGAAACATCCAGAATATTCCAATAAATACGGGCGCCGAACGACCAGACGCAGAAAGTTCGAGTGTGGGGCTTCTAGAAAGCTTAATTCTTCTGTTCGATACTAGATGGCGCTGTTGGTCGAAAGATCAAGATTGACATTTTTTAGGAAGCCCTCCTCGCTCTGGTCCCCGACACTAGATGGACGTCAACTTAGGCGCGCAACAATATTTAAAATTTAATAATATAAGAATACATCATAACTATATAAAAGTCGGGTAAACTCATGTACTGGTAAAAGCTAGGCGGGGCTAAAACGATTCGTAGCCCCATATGTAGCGCCTGTATGATTAAAAAGGCTAGCCATCCGAAGCTATAAAACCGAAATGTACATCGGCCAGCGGAGAATGGACATACGGCTCGTCACAACAATCACATCGCACTATATCTTCCGAAACGGCGACGGTCTGACTCCGAGCCCAGCAGGAACGACGCGTCAAATGAGTTGTCGAAGCAATCCTGACGCATTTCGAAGTCTGTTTTTAAATATAACCAAATTTTATCAACGAAATTTTGTTTTATTATTATCATCTTTCTTATCAACAGCCATTTTGAATCCACTGCTGGACATTGATCTTTTCTGGCGCCAGCAAGCAAGTAATGCTACTTAAAAATGCCGCATACTCATTACACTAGATTAGTTTTTAGTGGATATCTTCACGATTTTCCATCAACAGTCGGTCGCCAGAAACTCGTTCGTCTATAGAGTGGGAGCGCAGCGTTTTGCTTGAGATTTCCATTCTTTCAATTAATTTCCCTTATCACCCTATTTTTAATTATCTAAAATTGTTCAAGATGTACGTGCTTTGACATGCATGGCTTGAATGCAACGTTTCGTTCTGCACTAACCATATTAAATAAGGATATGTCTTAGGAGAGACTGCAATGACGCCGCTGTCACCACTATCGCCATGCGACGTATCGTTTGATGAAGGCGATGAGCAGCGCCCACGCTTACAACGTTCGCACGGACCTTCCAAGAAGACCTTCAAATTCCGACGCAGCCGACACGCTACCAGACCTGATGTATGTATAGCCCGTTCTTTAAAATGTTCCATAATTTTGGGCAATAAAAATCAACCGTGATTTTAACAAGTTTGTATATTCACTTATCTTTCTTAAGAGTCACTTATTTATTCTAAATAATTCTTAAGAAAACAATCTGTTTGATACTTATTTTATGTGTTATATGTTAATTTTTTTATGTACATTAAAATACGTTATCATTAAGAAGCAGGCAACGAAAACCCAACAACGTAAGCAAATATATTGCCAAACTACACATTACCATAGGCATCCATAATCTGTGTTGGAATGCTATGTGCTCATTAAAGGTATTTCTACAGACATTAGGATGTACTTTAAAGTTATAGCGTATATATATATATAATACGTTCCATTGCTGGTGATAGGCCTCTTCGCAGAGGGCTCCTCCTTAAAGGCTTATTGCAAATATTTTTACTTCTTATTACTAAAAAGAAAATGGTTGTCTGTAAAGTCGGCTTACGGACGATAATTTAACGTGACAACGTCATAACAAAACATTGATGAAACGATATATAACGCTCAAGCCCATCGTGCCTTTTGCTTGTTCGTGCCGCGCTCTCGTTTCGATCGTGTTCACGTGACAATGAGTCACCCTTTTCGTGCATGCAGCCGGCGTTCATCGATTTATTAAACGTAGTCACGTCAAAAGTCTAAATGAAAATATTTCGTTTGTACTATGCACGGATGGTGAAAATAGAATGGCTTACTCTTCACTTCACTCTGAAAACATCAGTTTGCGCCGCCATTTTAAGATATTTTACGAATGTGTTTGCTCGACCCGGGAAGGACCACGTCCTCAAAGAACATCAGCGTAAAATAGCAGCTTAGTTCTGTTGCATTTCTGTCGCGTTTTACCGTGCATCGAAATACAACAGTGACATCAATCATTCACTTACCATCAGATGGACTATTTTCTCGTTTCTCACTCTAATTCTATAAAAAATGAAGAAGAATACAACGAAATGTGCTCCCAACTTCCAACATCACTCTTACAGCCGCCACACATACTCTTAGCGATCAGCCGCCGTAGAGTCAACATCACCTGAAGATACCTCGTGTAGAGGCGAAACTCGTGTACTATCTTCGATGGTGTGTCTTTCCTAGAATATTGGTGCTGGGTCTAGTGGTGCTGGGATTAGTGGTGACGGGATTAGTGCACGCAATTGAGGGAGGGCGGGAGGTGCTCTTCAATCTAGGGAAGACACGTCATTTTATTTAATTTAGCGGATGGTTGCAAAGTAACTATTAATATCTTTATTATAATGGATTTCCGCAAAGAAACGCCTGATTCTATCATTTATATAACGGTTTGAATTACGCACTTGAGTTAGCGCGTAATGCGTAGCAAAATATCAGTTTGACCATCTTACACTTCTGATGAGCTCATAAAATTCCCACGTAACTTCCTCACATGTATCGGTGACATTAATTCATTGATTCCACATCATGTTAGTAAATACTAGTTTGTGTTACGGGGGTACGTTACAAGTTAAGACTATTAGTATGTAGGTTTGAAAAACTCATCGCCCTGGACTAGCGAGTTCTAAGCACAGCACTGATAATAATTTTGCACCACAAGAAGCATTATTGTTCGTAACAATAATAGAATAGTCTTTGATAATTTAATTGCAGACAGTTATTTTTAATAGGGGTACCACGCGCGGCTGGAGTCGGACGAGTGCTCGTCCCCGGGCGCAGAGTACATGGGGGGCGCGGGGGGCGCGGGGGTTGCTGGTATCATGGGGGGCCCCAGGCCCCTATTGCAGCCCCCCGCCGCCACGCCGCTCGCCGACACCTCGTACGACAGCGAGATCTCGCAGACCTCCTCCACCTCTGGATACAGGCTAGTATCGCCTCACGTTTCTCTAACTAATAACACGGCCCCGCATGTGCGTTTGTGTGTGGATATCGTTACATTCACGTACCACGAAATTTTTAAATGTCTATGTGAATGTAAAACTGACTGTCTAGTTTTAAGCGAACTAAAAAACTTGAGTTGAGAAATAATTTTATTATATTGATTTAAGCTATAATATGACGTATATTCGCAATATAATGAGAGATTTGTACAGAACATTCACAGAATAAAAAATAATATTACTAATCAAACTCATCATATTAATGTTATATTAAAATTACAATCCTATTTTTATATTGCCTTGCGGCTAAAAGTTTACATGAAATTCAACAAATCGTTATTCATAGTATATTACAAGACATTCAAGGCTACTGAATATAGGCCTCTCCTGCTGTAGGGTGGATTCTTATTGATCATCATGTTTGGCTGGCGAATTGATGATCACAGTACACAGTAGGTTCCCCGTCACAGACCTAGGTATTTTGCACCTGGTATAAACAAGATGATTATACCGCCAGCTATCGGAACTATGATATCTTTTTAACATTTATTTCATCATATAGTTTCCTAATTTCACAGAAAAGTTATATATTTTTCGAATAATTATATTATGGCCTAAATCACTAATAGTATTTCTCTTATGTGTTTGGAAGTTTCATCACAATCGGTTTAACCAGTTAGGAGATTAGCCCCAACAAACAGACTGATAAAGTATTTTAACAATAAGCCTAAGCTTACAGACAGACACTTTAGTTTTAGTTATATGTATTTTACCGTTACCATTATAACCTATCAAAAATCCATTGCTGAACATAGACCTCCCCCTTAAATTGCCTGTTTACTACGTTTGCCACGCTTTGCAACCGCAGTTTTTTTAATTTTCTAGTTATGAAGTCGCATCTTCTGTTTTTTTCTCTGTCGCCGCTTACGGTACCCACGTGATGATATGGGGTAGTGGATATTCTTATACCATCACTATACAGTCACTACACCGTCACTACACGATCACTACAGTCACTACACTATCACTACACTATCACTATACGGTGAGTACACTGTGTACTCACCGTATAGTGATAGTATGTATATGTATGTTCAGGGAAAGCTACAGCCTGCAGGCGTCGATGTCGGAGTCGCCAGGCGGGTCGGTGCGCGCGGCGCTGGCGTCGCCCGAGGCACCGTCGCAGCGCACCGACTCCGCCACGCCGCATGCCAGCCCCGACGGTAATCGACCCTTCGTATGTACCCATTCGTCACACTTGTGCCCGCCTCCGCCTCCGTGCCCGCTGCCGTCTCTCCTCTACTCTCTCTCTATCTCTTACTGTCAACTGTCTCACTGTGTATATTTCCTTCACTGTGAGTACGTCATTCTTCCGTTATTTTGCATGGCGCTTTGATTTCAATTGTCTCGCTAAAAATTGGGTTTCTCATGATTAATGCGAGTATGTATAATTGCTCTTTGTCAATGAAAAAAAAAATTCTTTTTAGCCGACTTCATAAAAGTGAGTTTTTCAATTCGACTGTATGTTCTTTTTTTGAAGTGAACACTTTTTTAAAATCGATCGTTGAAGCTCGACTTCAACGATCGATTTTAAAAAAAGTGTTGAAACGAAAAAGTGACACTAAAAAGAGATGAACTTTTTAGACTACGAGAAAGTGAAATAGTATGCAGTAGGTATACAATGTTTATCATAAATTTGTTTATATTATTTTTATTTACATAAACCCTACAATTATCCCCCTCCTGATACTTTGCATTTGTCTCATTCTCTCGAAGTATAGTTTTCTGAATGTTTCACTTTCGAGGAAAAAAAACAACATGGGTGTGATAAATAATGGACAAAGTTTTAATATACCAATTTAGACGACATTCTATTTCTTACTTTGAGATTATGTATTCCTTAAACGTAGTACTACACGTTCAGTTTATCATCAGTCTTGTCAAACTGAGGACAAACTGATTGACAGAATTTACGGACCGTTGGACTGATAAATTTTAAATATTTCGATTTTTTTTTTGTCAGTCTCGAGTTTGTCTTGGTGACATCAAGGACGATGAGAAACTGACACTGTAAATGCGTTTATTAGTCTTGTATCAGTCTACAATTAGACAACTATGTAACCTCACGAAGACCCTATATTTTCTTATGTTATTTATTTACGCTCAAAGTTTGTGTTAAAATACTAGTGTTTTCAGCCTCTCACTTTCAAAACAATACTTTTTAATCGTTCTGTATACTTACAAGTCTAGATAGCAATATCATGCTTAGTTGGACTTACGTCAGAAATCTCCTCCGATAGTAAAGAAAAATGATTGTCTAGTGAAACCTTAATTTAATTCATTATTCATCGCCTTATTTCATCTCATAGACAGAAGAACTTTAAACTGACAGACAGATGTTAGGTCTTCGTATCACTCTGAGCGAGACCATTCTGGTTAAACTGTCTTGAGCTCCAAGTATTCTCTTTTGCTTCATGTCCTTTATGCACTCAGTCAATAATCCCAAAATATCCTACTGGGATAAGCTGACATTTGTCCCAGCAATACTAGGTTTGTCATTGACCGACCTCAAGCTTATCAGTATGTCGATGAGAGCTCTTGCCTTGAGATATGGTCCTATTCTTTCTTTTTCAGTCTAGGATAGCGCAACTTTGCCTCGGCTAGTTTGCAAGTAGAAAGTCCCAGTTGGTTTCTAATTAGTGGTCAATGGATTCAGCGCCCTCACGATGATCCGAATCCGTTTGCTAAGGTATGCATAAAAGGAAGTCGCAGTTCATTTTTAAGATGTTTCTAAGCGTTTACAAAACCGCCTTCTCCAATGTGCTTCTCATTGTTATGGGTCGCTTGTTCATGGGTAACCAAAACTAGGTCATGACCTAGTGCTGTCGTCATCATAATGAGAAAAACGAGAAATACTCAATGATATCAGGAATACGTTCTATATGTAAAATGTGTTTTTTTTTACATTCCAGGATGAGTGAGTTTTTATTAAAAGATTTAAATTAATAATGACATTCCAAAACCACTTTTAGCATGTTTATTTACATCAAATATCTTTAGTTTTCGGTATATAATCTTCAGTGACATGCAATATGAATATGCTTAACTTTTTAAATAGTGCTACTTAAAATCAGAAAAAACGCCTGTTTTTTTACATTTTCTTAATTTGTCATCCGATTCCGAGCTGTGTTTAAAGTTACAAATCTCTAGTTCATCGGGGAGTTAGTTTAAAATCAATTACTGAATTCCATATAAGCAGATATAGACGGAACGTTAATAAAAACGTGGTAAAATTACTCTTCCCGAATAATTTCTATTTTTTAAGTTTCTTAAACTGTATTATCATTATCATATATCTACATGTAAATAAATTTTCGCCGACTAGTTTTACGACAGTCAGTAATTATTTATTTTTAGATATTATAATGAACGATATATATATAAATAATAATGATAGTAAGAGACCAGAGTATAGTGGGTAGACACATATCATCATGTGGATCAACCAAAGCATCAGCATCATCCTTGAGGTCACTAGTAATAATCTGGGGCATATTATTACTAGTGACCTCAAGGATGACGCTGACATCGAAAGGGAGCGCAGGGCTCTGGCGGTTAGAGGTAATATGTTGGCCCGCAGGTGTTCCCGTTGTACAAAACAAGTTAAGATTACGCTTTTTAAAGCATACTGCCAGAGCGTGTACACGGGGAGCCTGTGGGTCAAATACACCAAAAGATTGCTTGAAGCCTTGCGCATCCAATATAATAATATGTTCAGGGTGCTGTTGGGACTGCCTCGTTTTTGTAGTGCATCAGGGATGTTTGCGGCATACCAAACAGACGGTTTTAATGCCATGATACGCAAAAAAACCGCATCCCTAATAAGGGATGCTAAATGCTAATAAGCAGGGTACGAGCCAGTCACAACAGCATTCTGAGGACCGTAGCGGACAGATATACATCGCCGCTGTGGAAATATCTTGTGCAGAGACTGATAACTGGGCCCTATCCACCCCCATGATGATCTGTCTGGGCACAGTGTATTTATTTTATTTCCCTAGATTTTAAACAAACCATTGTTTTTTTTTACTAACCCTTGTTATTATAATTGTTGTTATTATTAGTGTGTTACTAACCCACATATGGATTTTAATTATCTGAAATAAAGAATTTATTTTTTTATTTATTATGTCACCCATTAGACCGAAGACGAAATGCCTTAAGCAAGGTTTAGACGAAGCCAGTACTAGCAGCCAGCACTGGCTTGTTATTGGCCTTGTATGAACATTTTTTCAATACAAGCCAGCGCTAGCTGCCAGCACTGGCGGGAATAGAGCGCTTGCCTATTTTTCAAGCCAGTGACCTCCGCCCGCGTGCCCCGCAACCCCCGCGCCAGAATAAATAATTTGTAATATAAAAATTTTACTAGTAATATATAAACATTATTTTTCAGTTATTTAAAAAAATCATCAATTTAATGCAACGATTTACAAGAATAACCTAGGAATTAAATGAACCTATTTGGCCCATCTAAACAACACGAGCCAGGCTAGCACTGGCTTGTCTGAGGACTGGTGCCAGCGGTACTGGCTTCGTCTAAACCTTGCTTTACAGCCGTGAAATATTTTGCCTTTCTTAACATAATGTACACTGGAATATAAGAGTGAGTACTCCGCTGCTGGGGGACAGAAATTGATATGAATGATATTGCAACTAGTTCGGACGAACAATAAGACAGAAAAGAAGCTGAATTTTAGTATTCGTTCTTTAAATGATAGTATTCAAATTTTCATTTCCTTCTAATTTCTATTTCACTTTTCGATAGTATTGTCGTTAATATCGATAGTGTGAACTATCGCTATTATGCAACCACTATTTTTCCAACTTCTTTCTTAGCGTTTGCTTTTTTGTGAAATGTATTTAGAATACTATACTATACGAGTACAGTTACATATTTATAATGATCGATTTCGTTTACAGCATCTTTAAGTTGCGAATCCGGGACATCGTCGGCCGAACGTACAGCATTATTGGGCGCTGCCAGTCAGCGCTCACTTTTGTTAAGCAGCGAACTACGGGATGAAGATACATTGTTATAAATCGAAATTATTTGATAATAACAAAATTACGTTTTTATTATGTTATATCCGAAATTATATTGGATGTTAGACGTGTGGATTCTAGATGTGATACCAATTAGAATAAAAAAGTTAAATTAAAACTGTTTTATTATTTATTTTATTATGCATGATGCACCACAATATTAATATGGTAAATAAATTACCAAGTGACCGGCGCAGCGTCCGTTTTAAGTAACTTTAAAAGATTTGCAGTAAAATAAACTTAGTAAAGTTTAGTTTGCTTTTATATGCCTATGGAAACTGTGTAAAAAGCTTTATATGTTTTAAGTATTCATATTAAAAACTTACCAATCATGAATTTTTGATAACATATAAAATATTTTTATTCATGTCATTATATTACTTGAAACTAATATTGCACAAAACAACTTATAAACTCTACTTCAAAACAAACAAAGTAAATAAGCAAAATGGCGGATTGTGTCAGCGCTACTGAAGTTAACAAACGTGTCCTGGCCGAAAACTGTATACTTTCGCCATTTTGCTAACAAACGCTTCCTAGTGCTTTTTTCTGCCAAACGCAACCATTACTTGTGCTAAATAGCGTAAACAGAATCACCAATCGTCACCATAACTATTAGCGCATTGACTCAGCGTTTGACTGCGGCGGCCGGCGCTGCGGGTGTTCTGCAAAACTATTTAAAGAACAAACAATCACGCATTGAGGAACATCTATAACTTTTTCTGCCATCAGTACGGCGCCGCTTAGAAATGAGGTGAACTATTTGACAGATTTCATCGTTGGGGAAGTTTTGTTTGTAAAGACATGCATTAAATAATAATAAAGATAAATCTCAACCCAAGCACGCAACTGCAATACTTCAAGGTATGTACTATAAGTTCATGGATGGATGGATGTAGCCTTAGTTAACTATGACATTGGGACGTCAAACTACTCAGTCCCCCTTGTGACCTTGGGTGCTGTAAAGTGCTCGAAACGGGAATATGAAATAAGTTAATATACGCCATAAAATCTGTAAAAACTAGTTTTATGTAAATGTGTATTGTTCGCGTAAATAAAAGAAATCAATTTAGAATGCTTGCAGTATCATAATGGACTCCGACGTAGAAGACGAAGATACCGCCGTTATTCGATACATTCAATTTTAGATTTTTAGTGTCCGTTTAGCGGCCGGCGCCGGCCACAAGAAGCGAGCAGCGACAATTTGTAGCGTGTTGCGACCTCCGGCATCTATCGTGTGCGGCGAATTCATATAAAATGTACGAAAACTACAGAAAATACGTCGGTGGCGGCGTTTTGTGGTTATGGTGGATGGCCCGTGTGCGGCCAGGCCTAGTCAATAAATAATATATATTTATCAGCTTATACCCTTTATCTACATATTGAGTAAGTAGTAAGTAGTCTTGTAAGTATAAAGAGAGAATCTTTGGTTGATTTGTTAGGTCTGAATCCAAATAGATTTTTGAAATATTTTTTTTCTGTAATTATTTGTATTTGTGTAGGTGATGGTGCATAATAATATATAATTTTAAGAGCGTGTACTCGCCGACAAACTGATTGCAGTTTGGCGAGAGAATAGTAAAAATAATGTACTTACCTTTGTATGAATAAATAAATTAAAAAAATATATAGCTATTTGACTCAAAGCAGTTTTTTAATCTTTTGAGTTTAAAGTTAGAGATAGAACTAGTTAAAGATTTGTTACTTGTTTTTGTGAATTAGGATTACTATTGACTTTTTAAGCGTAGTTGCAAAAGTATCTGTAATAAAACTAGTATAGCAAAGATCTGAAATAGGTTTTTCTAAAATTTCTTGAAAATATTTTGGTACATAAGTAGGTATTCAGTCCCACCCTGAAGTATTGCTATTTTCAAGGTTACTGGTAATACTTTTAACTTCGCCTACGTTTACTGGACTAATCGTATCGTTTGTTTACAGCGGCACGTGATGAAAAATATAGCTATCGTTATTTTTCATCGGTGGCCGCTGTAAACAAACGAAAAATATCGATCGCTATATTTTTCATCACGAGCCGCTAACCGAACTAAACCCAACTAACCCAATTAAATATTCCAAAAACCAAATTTGATATATACTTGACCAAGGTAATATAACATTATTATTTTTATAAACGCAGATTTTCATTACAATATATTGTCTTGCTAAAAGTACGTAGGATTTATATATAAATATACTTATACTTCTTGGACTATATGGTGTGACCAGGATGTGTACTTCGGTATCTATTACCGTAATTCCTCGAAGAGTAGAACTAGGTGTGCCAAGTTTGGCTTCATTGTGTTAGTTATGATGAGATCTTACTAATGGTGGTTAATAATAGCGCCATATTATAACGCGCTATCTCTCCATAACACATAGCGCGTGCTGTATAAGTAGTCGCCATGGCGCTATGGCGCTATGACGCTTTAGCGCTATTCATATCAAGTGGCAATTAGTTCTAGCAGCAGCGCTGTTGGGAGTAGACGTGTGACGCAAATTAAATGTAGCAGCACGCTATTCATCGCGCGCGAACTAATTAGTGTTAGACGTTGTTTAGTTATTGTATACTGTATATTTATAAGTGATCGAAGGACACAGTTGTCTGCTACAAAAGAAGCCTAACTAATGTTTTAAATGTAAATAAAATGTAGATACAAAAGTGTATATAATAGTGTTTGTAAATAGTTGATTTTTGTATATACAATCAATAAACTTTTAAATACACCTTTCATTGATTTATAATTTATTTTAAGGTTAAAATAGGGTTTACATCAATTATAATAAAAAATGATTAAGTAATTTTATTTCGTTTTTTAGAAGTGCATGCCTTAAAAATATTTTTAGGTTTATAGAAATCGTAAGTAAGCCTGAAAAGTATGAAAGAGCGTTTATTGATTTCTCTTTACCTCTTTATTTTATTTTAATCTAAAATGCGAATTATTACGAAATAATGTTCTTATATAGCACGCGGTCTATCCAATGAACGACACGTAACGTAGCGTGCTCCAAGATATAGCGTGTTTAGCGCGCTTGCCGGCCTCCTACACGCTTTCTTATAAATAGCGCGCTATAACATAGCGTATTTAATAGCGCGCTAGAAATTTATAGTTTATAGTCTGTAGCGTGCTATTGATTTATAGTCGTTTTGAACAACTTTAGATATTACCTCCGGACTTGATAGAGTGTCCCAGTTAGTACTCATATTCAAGTGGCCTAAGGTGTACTTTGGTGAATGCTAAACATAGAGTAGAGTAATATATACAGAAATGCTAAATTAAAATACAGGTTATGACAAGATAGAAACTTTTTGAAAACTAATTAAAGTTGACCAGACAAAAAAATTTATTAACGAGTCACATCAAAAAGACTAGTTTTTACTCTCTAGTACATAGTCAGTAATCTATGGTTTTTACGATAATGCCTGAGTACAAATACCTAAAAATCAAAGTAATATTAAAGTGGATTTCTGATCGTTTTAAGATAATTCTGTTAAAAGTTTTTTTAATTAACAGTAATAAAAAATATATCAATAATAATAACATAGTAAAATTTAAAAAGAATTCTATCACGAAATTAGAAGTAATAAGGTTATTTGTGAAAACTTGTGTTATTAATACTTGACTAAAAATTGACGTATAACATGAGCGCTTAAGGCATGCAAAAGTTTTTTTATATATTAGGTTAAAGTCACCTGCCACTAATTATTCACCACGGTTTGACTGGCAGAGAATGCTAACTAGCATTAAATCCGCCCTTTGTATCCTTTATGGTTAGTACAATAAAGCTTTAAAATAAATAAAATAGTTTTTTCATTGATCATCACACTGTGACCATCTGTGTGGCAAATAATTTCACCTCAGTCCCAGCTAGCGACATCTGGTGAACGTAAGATTATTAGCCCTCATTAAGGGTAGGGGAGAACTCAACAATTTGCAGCAAACATTTTTCTGATAAGAATAAACGAAAAAGTGGAATAAAACCAATTTTATTAAAAGGAGCCATTTCTACGTTATTTTTACTTGTAAAATAAGGAAGGAATTTAAGGGATTAAAAAAAATATTGGCAATGCTATCAATATCACTAATATTCCCTTTAACCACTCCTGATCAATGCCAATAAACTTCTATAATGTATTTAATTGTTAATTAATAAATGTTTGTAATTATTAAAAGTAATACTTAAAATATGAAAAATAAAGCAGCCATTATGTACTCCCTGTCCCCGTTTTTTATTTCTCCAGCAAAACTTTTTATAAAAGGTGATTACCTACTTAATTAAGTATCTACCTTTTTATATTTAATTAAAATTATGTTGAAAAATAAATTCCGAGTAAGCTGTCCATGGCAGTATATTTTTTTTCTAAAGGTCCAAAACACAATTTTCCGATCAGATACTTGGGGAAAATTGTTTGAGTTTATTCGGTAGACCTCACCTCTTCAGAGATTATTGGGATTTTGTATATTTTGAATTAAAATCCAACAAAACGCAGATAGGCGCTGCTTATTCTCGGGAACATGTTATATGAAAATGTTATTTAAGTTAAGCATTGAAGTAATATGTACTTACGTACTAGAACAGCTATCTCAAACAAAAAATGTGCGCTACTCTGTGTTCGCGCGGTTGATTTTTTATCATAGAATAAACATAGGTAGAATGACCCGTACATTGTATTGTTAAATAGGTAAATTATATCGAGAACAATATTTAAATTTTGTCATTTATTTTTTTTATTTTATTTATTTACACTTTATTTTACTAAGGGTACAAACGGCGGACTTAATGCCATATGGCATTTTCTACCAGCCAACCGGAAAGTTAGTGGGAGATGTGTGTGCTAGGATGAAACCTAAAAATTGATAAATTTCACATACACATACACCCCCCCCCCCACACACACACACACGCATACACACTCATAGCTCAAACTTAATTAAATATATATAAGGATCTAATAGATTAAATGTTATAAATTATTTATATATTTATGTGTCAGATG